CTGCTGCTGCTGCTGCTGCTGCATCACACGAGAGACTGCATTTCACACCCTGAAATTCCAAATGGCCATGGCTGAGTTCCTCCCCATCCTGCTCCTCCTCCCCCGTTCGGCGACGGCCTACCACATCTGTTTCTCTCAAACGACCATCACTAGCCTAGGGTACGGCCGACTCGCCTCAACGGGAACGATGGGCGTCAACCAACTGCACGCCCGCATCTACATTCACAACAGCCTCCTATGAGCTCGGCTCGCAGGCCTGCACGTCGCCCACCACGCAAGCTACCAAGGCTCGCGCACGACCTGGATCGCCCAGACGCAGACCCCGAAGAGGTGCTTGACATCCACACCATATCGGACGATAGCAGCGAGAACATGCCGTCCAGGGTGCGCAACGGGCGGGCATCGCCTTCCAAGCCATCCCCGGCTACCAAATCCAGATCCCGTGGTACACGGCCATCAGCTGCGCACGACGTCATCGAGATCCTCTCCAATGCATCCACAGACAATGCACACGACGACGTTGACATGTCGGATTTCGAAGATGTCGACGTGGCCAATGCAAGCCCCGCCACGGGTGCCTCGCGCGAGGCCAGCGAAGACCTCGAGATGGAAGACGTCGATCTCGACCCAGACAACTCGACCAAGGATCTGCACGATATGTATGCTGATGCATACAGAGAGGTTCAGGCCAAATACGGCGACGGTGCCATCGGCGAAGATGGTCAGGAGGGCAGCGATCAAGAGCAGACGGGCGACGATTCAACCACAGATCCCAAAGCCATCCCCATCTTCAAGGATGGCAAGGGTCAGCACCGGGGCGTCGAGATCTCCGTCGGCAGTCGCACCCCTAAGCAGTCCGGCTCCACCAAGCCAAAGTCCACCAGCCTGCTCACGCCGCGCGACCGTCAGAATCGCATCACTGCGCACAAGCTGCTCGTGCTCTCCATGCTCGCCCACGCCCGCGTGCGCAACAAGTGGTGCAACGACAACGACCTCCGCGACACACTCGCCGATTCGGTGCCAGACTACCTCATCACCAAGCTGCGCTCCATCCATCCCAAAAAGGTGCCCGAGCAGCGCGAACGCATCCGCATGTTCGAGAGCTTCCTCTCGGAGCTTGTTCGGTGGTGGACAGCGCGTTTCCGTCTGGATCCCACCATGGTCGCGGCCTCGGCCCTGCGCCAGCCGGACCAGGACATCGCAACCGGCATCATGCCGAGCTCCGGCAGGCGCATAGATGGCTGGGTCGTAGAGACGGCAGCAGAGCGAGAGCAGCGCCACCGTCGCGAGCGCAGGGAACAGCAGCGCTACCGCGATGCAAAGGAACAACAGGCAAATACAAAGACCAAAGGCAAGGGCAAAGCCAAGGCCGCCTCCACAGCAAGTGCATTGCTGCCGCCCACAAAGGCGATGGAGATCACCATCTTTGCGCCCGGCAGCGCCATCCGCCCGATCTACTTGCGCCTGCTCTCGGCACCAGAGACCATTTCGTCGCCCGCCGAACTCAAGCAGCGTGCACTCGACAAGGCCGGCTCCAGAGAAACGAGCGCACAGCTCTTTTGCGCCCTGTGCCGATCCCTCGGCATTCCTGCTCGGCTCGTAGTGAGCCCGCAGCCGATGCCGTGGAGTGTGGGTGCAAGCAAGCTCGCGAACTCGGCGGCGGGCACTCCGGCAGACAAGAAGCCCAACCAGCTCCGTGCCAAAGCCAAGACCCCGGCGTCGCGGCGTTTCGCTTCCAAGCCGGTGCACGAGCTGACCTCGGATGACGAGTCTGTCGCCTCAAGCGGCTCGGCGAAGCGGACAGCCACCCGTGGTAAGGCTGTGCCGCACCCAATGGGCTTTTCATCGGCTGACGAGGCAAGCGATGCAAAGCGAGGTACACCTGCAAAGGCTCGAGCAGCAACTTCGCGGCGGGAAGCGCCAGGAAGCGCCAGCAGCAGAGCTAGTCGTCGAGGCAACCGCGAAGAGCCCATCTTGCTCGACGGCACGGCATCGGATGCCTCGTCCAAGTCGGCAGCAGCCACGTCAAAGAAGGGGAAGGCGAGCGCCAGAGCTGCAGCCGTCGGCGAGTCGGCGCGGCGCAAAGGCAAGGCGAGAGAGGTCGATCCGCCTGTGGCCGACGGTGACGGAAGCGAAGACGATGACTACCGTCCGGAAAAGTGGAAAAACCTCAAGACGCCGCTCGAGGTGGAGCACAAGGTGAAGCTGCGCGCATTCCGGCCCAAGCAGCTCAAGGACTCGGAGCTGGCGGGTGAGGATACGACGGCGGATCCGGTCGACCTGCAGGCTCCGCCGACCATGTGGGTCGAGGTGTTCTCCAAGCCGTACCAGAAGTGGATCAGCGTGGATCCGGTGCGATCGCTGGTGAGGCCGTCGGGGAATCGACACATGGAGCCGGCGCCATTCGATCGGCAGAACAAGCTGATCTACGTTGCGGCGTTTGAGGAGGATGGATATGCGCGCGATGTGACGGCGCGCTATACGAAGACGCTCAACTCGCGTGTTTCGCGACTGCGACCGCCGACACGGGCGAAAGGAGAGGAGGACTGGTGGACGCGCGTGGTGCGTGCCATGCATCGGCCGCAGAAGCTCGACCGCGACGCGATGGAGGATGCGGAGCTGCAGGATTTTAGTGCGCGCGAGCCCATGCCGTCGTCCATGGCCGGGTTCAAGGACCATCCGGTGTACTTTTTGGAAAAGTTCCTCAAGCGCGACGAGGTGGTCTTTCCGCGCCGCCAGATCGCCACGTTCCAAGGCACGCCGGTCTTCTCCAAGGCGGACGTTCTCACATTACGCTCGTCGCGCCAGTGGTACAACGAGGGCCGCGTCGTCAAGGACGCAGAGACCGCGCTCAAGTTCGTCAAGGCGCGGGGATACACGCTTGCGAACAAGCGGGCCGAGGAGCAGGCCAAGCTCGAGGGCCGCGAAGTTGCGCAGGAGGGACTGTACGCCGAGTTCCAAACGCAGCTCTACGTTCCCCCCGCCGTAGGACCGGACGGAGCGATTCCGACGAATGGGTTTGGCAACATCGACCTGTTTGTGCCCTCGATGCTGCCGGCGGGTGCGGTGCATCTGCCCATGCAGGGCACCGCCAAGGTGGCCAAGAAGATCGGCGTACCGTATGCCGAGGCGATCACCGGCTTCGAGTTCCGCAAGCAGCGCGGCATGCCCAAGATCACGGGCATTGTTGTGGCCGCGGCGAATGCAGAGATGGTCGAGGACGCCTTTTGGCAGCAGGAGCAGCAGGATGCGTTGCGCCAGCAGACCAAGAAGATGGAACGCGCCATGAAGAATTGGCGCAAACTCATCAATGCCGTGCGCATCGCCAAGCGCGTCCAGGAGCAGTACAAGGACCCGATCGAGGGTCAACCTCAGGATGACGTATCGCCGAGCGAGGATAAGGAGGAGGAAGGTGGGGAGAAGAGTCGATTCTTTGCTCCGAAGCCGGCGGAGGGGCCGCATTCGGCTGACGTGGGTGAGAGGCTGGATGTGGGTGTGGATGTGGATGTGGATGTGGAGATGGCTGATGGGGTGGAGACCGAGTCGGCAGCGGCTAGCGCAGCAAGCACACCGCGCAGGAAAGGCGCCATCATCTCGCTCGCCCAACTCGCTGCCGCGCCAGCTGAAGAAGAGCTGCAGGAGGAGGAGGAGGAGGTGGGGGTGGGCGAGAAACGTGCTCGTCCAGCGCGACGCTCCACACGCGCACGTGCAGGGCCGGCGCAGTACGACGAGCGCGAGGACAGCGAGCACGACCCACCAGAGGCCGAGACACCGCGCCGCACTCGCCGCATCACCATCAAGCGTCCCCGGCGCAGTTGACCCGGCGCTCGCTTGTTCCAATCTGATGCAATTATGATTCCCGTCGGCCGCTGGACCTTGAGCCATGAGGGATGCGTGTGCTGATAACCACTTGTTCCTGTCGACCTGACGTTGCGGCGCTGACTGCGGACTGCAGAGTTGGGCCTGGTCCCAGCATCGCGGTGATCACCTTCTCTTTGCGCCAGGCTTGCTTGTTGTGGCACTAAAGGCGGGCACTGATACTGAGGAGCCGGTGATGATCACGCACTTGGCAGATTGTAATGTGCCCTGCCCCTGCACAGCATGGCGCCACGAGGCTGAGCCAACTTTGTCCAAATCCTCATGCTCAATGGACGCTTGATCGAACATGCTTGGCTCTGCCTCACACACACACACAGCCCACGCTCATCCAGACACAAGTTTTGATTTGAGAGGAAGCGTAGTGCTTAGAGCCAGGGTGCCCATGTGGGGTCCTGCAAAGCGAGCTTGGAGGGGTTGGAAGCCGAATTGATCAGGTCCAGCACGACGCCGCTGACGGGCGCAGTGTTGGTGGACCGCTCCAGCTCGTGTGCGCAGCTGAGCAGTTTGGCGCGCTTGACGATGTCGAGCACATTGGTCATGACGACCTCCTTGGGCGCCTCTGTCGGCAGCTGTGTCGGTGCGGCCCCCTGGGCCTGAGCCTGCGCCTGTGCCTGACGCTGTGCACCCTGCAGCCAAAAGTTGATCTCGTCCCGCACAAAGATGCCCAGATACTCCTCCATGGCCCTCTCTGGCTCGACCAGCGTCCGTGCCAACGCGATGAGCGAGGAAGTCAAAACGCCTTCGATCGCAACTGGGCCGATAAAGTGCTGCAGGTTCGGCGAAAGGCGGAACGGAGTAGGGTCGGTCGACTTGAACTGTGGCGCCGTCGGGTTGAACGTGGGTACGACGTCCGACATGGCCACCTGTCCCGAACTGCGACTGATGTGGATCCGGTTCGGTAGCCGGTTGGAGATGAAGAGGCAGTAGGTCACGAACGATGCAGCGGCGGTTTGCAGCGCAAACTGCTTGCGCAGCATGTACAGCTCGCTCGACGTCGCCATGGACCGTGTCATGTAGCGCGTCAACACGGTATCCGGAACATACTTGGTCGAAATCTCCTCCATCAGATCCATGCGCAGGTTGGTAAAGTCCACATTACCGCGTGTACCACCGCCCGAGCCGGACCCTGTAGCAAGGTTGCCACCGTCCCAGGTGGAGCGCATCTTTTCCACCCACGCAATGACCGGATCGTCCTTGCCGATGCCAATCTCCTCGCAGTGACGCTCGTAGATGTCCTGCAGACTGACAAAGCTCGAGTCGTGGTCGATCAGGCGCACCTGCGGCGCGAGCGGCAGCGCCAGTGGCACGTGGAACGCCAATCCGCGCTTGCGCGTCTCCTTCCTGCGCTCCAGAATGCGGTTGAAGAATCGCAGCAGCTGGAAGATCTTTTCTTCGCGTCGACAGTACCTCCCACTGGGCAGCTGCACGGCAAACGAATGCATCGTACCCTTGTTGCTCAAGATGGTCAAGCGGCGAGTACACATGCCCGCCGACCGCACCATCTCGAACACCGGCATGAAGCGCGCGATCTTGACGAAATCCGAATTGTTGTCCTCCAGCTTGAGGTACTGACCGGGCACCTCGACCTCGTCGAACTTCTGGTGCTGGAACTCCACCAGGTAGTGGCTGCAGTGCTCCAGATGCTGCTTGCTCGGGCGCCGGTCCAGACTCGTCTCGTACCGGTCGCGCCATCGCTGCAGCTTGCTCACGTAGTCGCGCAGCGTCGGCTTGCTCTTGACAAAGTCCTCCTCGAACGACGTCTTGAGCGGACCCGGAGGCAGGTTCTCGGCAAACCGGATCACGTTGGCCTGCGACGACGCCGGAAGCACCCCAGAGTCGTTGGGCGAGACCGCACGCTGGATGTACTGCTGCAGCGCGTCGTTGAGCAGCGCGTTGGNCCGGATCACGTTGGCCTGCGACGACGCCGGAAGCACCCCAGAGTCGTTGGGCGAGACCGCACGCTGGATGTACTGCTGCAGCGCGTCGTTGAGCAGCGCGTTGGTGAGGCGGTAGATGTCCTCCTCGTTCGTCGGCTTGAACCGCTGCTGGATCTGCTCGGCAATGTTCTCCATCGTCAGCGTCAGCAGCGGGAACGCCGTCTTGAGGATGTTGAGGATCTCGTCCACGTACTCCCACGGCTGGCGCGGGACGTTGGCGGCTGCGGCAGCGGCGGCAGCGCCCGGTGCCCCCGCTGCTCCCGGTGCCGCCGGCGTGGCAGGCGCGCCCGCAGCCGCAGTCGTTGCACCTGGCGCAGCAGCCTTTCCGGAAGCATCGGCGCCGTTGGCAGGAGTGGCTGCCGCGCCGTCCGTCTTGGTGGGACTGCCTGGTGTCTGGCCCTCGGAGCCCGGCGGCTTGGCGGCGTCGGTGCCCGCGGCGGGCTTGCCATTGGCAGCAGCTGCCGCCGCGGCCGCCGCAGCCTGCTGTCGAGCCTGCTGCTGCGCCGCACGCTGCGCAGCGATGAGCGACTGGCGCTTCATCGCCACAAAGTCCTCCTTGGTGGTGCGCAGGTAGAAGTAGAGCGACTGCGGGAACGTCTTTGCGATCGACATGAGCATCTTGCGCGCGAACCTGGCCTCCTTGTGACTGAGGCTCTGCAGCAGCTGGGGGATGAAGGTGATCCAGTACCAGATGGGCGCGTCGCCCTTGAAGCCCTCGAACGCCTGCCAGACGGTACCCTTGCTGTCGTCGCACGAGAGCAGCCAGAGCACGCGGATGAGCACCTTGCGCACCTTGGCGTTCTTGTACAGCCCGGCGGCCTGCAGGTAGCAGCTGACGGCGTTGCCTGCCGCCGCGAGCTCCGTAGGCCGGTCGCGGAAGAGGCGGTCATTGTAGCGGCCCCACTCGGTCCACGCCTTGGCGAGGTTGAGGTCCATCTGGATGGCGGTGGCAAAGGCGTGGTTCGCCTCGTCGTTGAGCCCGAGGCGCGCCATGAACATGCCCTTGAGCGTGAAGAACTCGGCCTTCTGCGGCGCGGCGAAGAACATGAGGTTGGTGTTGTTGATGACGTCCAGGCCCTGCGTGAGCTCGTTGGGGTTCTGGAAGTGGCACTTGGCCTGCTCGCGCAGCTTGAGGAACGCCTCCTGGATCTCGATGTTGGGCAGCGTGTAGATCTTGGTGAGCGACGAGATGCACACGTCGTTGAGGTAGTGCTTCCTCGCCACGTGCGCGAACCGGTTGATGATCCACGCCGTCTCGTGGTAGCCGCGGTAGGCGTACGAGTTGGTCGACGCATTCTGCCCGTCGCGCTGCTGGATGACGGGCACGAGCGGCAGATACGCCTTGTTGATCGCGCCGAACACGTGCTGTCGCCAGGCGACCAGGTCGGACCACGCATTGATGTCGTCCCACAGATTGGGCAGGCGCTCGCGCCACGTCTGCATCTGCGCCTTGAGCTCCGCGGATCGCTGGTCGAGGTTCGTGGCGTTGGTGTGCGCCAGGCTGGCAAAGATCGTGCTGGCCTCCTGCAGCTCGACGAACTGCTGGAAGATCTGGAGCAGCGGCACGTGTGCCACCGTGACGGCCGCAGGCAGCGAGTGCCACTTCTTGAGCGTCAGCTGGATCGCCTCGTCGCAGATGCGCCCGAACTCGGCCGGCTTGTCCTGACCCGACTGGCTCTTGAGCAGCGCCATGTACGCCTCGAACACGCGCCTCCTCGGCGTCGCGCTGGCCGACAGGCTCTCGAGCGCCTGTTCGAGCGTCTCGCGCTCCGTCGTCCAGTCGTACAGCCGCCAGGCGCACTCGAGCAGCAGATCGTTGTCGCCCTCCATCTTGGCGAGGTCGGTGAGGATGTCCCACTGCTGCAGCTTCTGCGCACAGAACACCCACTGGTCCTCCCACAGATGGTACTCGGCCTCGGTAAAGTTGAGCACGCCCGAGCGCGCCTTGATCTGCGCAGTCTCGTACTGCACCTGGGCGTGGTTCCACATGCCGATTTGCTCGAACGAGATGGCGCTGTTGGTCTCGGCGTAGACGCACCTCCTCCTCCACAGGCCGTAGAACATGTCCTCCTCCGACAGCTCGGCGTACAGCTCCGCCAGCGCGTCCTGGCCCGCCTCGCGGATGGCATCGTCGTGGCGCGGCAGCGAGCGCAGCAGGTTCTGCAGAATCTCGATGGCCGTATGCCACGCGTTGAAGTTGCGGCCGAGGTACTTGACCACGTGCGGCGGCAGCTCGAGCTGCGGCTTGCACGCCAGCGCGCCCTCGAGCAGCGTCTGCACGACGTTGGGCCGCTTGCTCACCTGGCGCAAGTTGTACTCGCGCGTGAGCACGCCGATGAGCGCGCGCGTGATGTCGTCGTGGTCCTTGCGCGTCATGGAACGCCAGGCGGCCGCAAAGAACGACACCCAGATCTGGTGCGCCAGCTCCTTGTCCGTGTACAGCAGAGCGCGGATCGACGCGATCATGTCGCCCACCTGCAGACTCTTGAGGGTCGAGACAAAGCTGCTGCCGCCCTTGCCGAGCTGCGCCGAGCTGTGTGCGAGCAGCGGCCAGTTGGCGTCCACGGAGCCGAGCATGAGATCGAGCACCTGGCAGACCCAGTAGTGCTCCGCCAGATACTCCCAGCTCTGGTGGCCGAGCAGGTACTGCAGACGCCCAGCCACGCCGCGCACGAGCGTGCGGTCAAAGATGTCGATGAACTTCTTGCGCACCTGTGCGTCCTTGTGCCTGCAGCCGAGCAGGAAGGCGTTCTCGAGCCGAACCGTAAGTTCGGTGCGCGCAAACGCCGGCGTCGTATAGATGGCGTAGATGAGGTCGAGATAGTCGCGCAGCAGCTGGTCGTTGTCGCGCGACTCGAACGACATCATCTTGAGCAGGATGCCCGCCTTCTCCTTGACCGTGGGGAACGTCTCGCGCTGCTCGAGGATCCACTTGGACATGGTGTTGAGCAGGAAGCGGCAGAGTTCGATCGACGACGATCGCTCCACCAGCTGCACGAGGGC